AAAGACAGTATACATACATATTTAAAAAGCCAAAATCAAATTTGTTTGTAGTTTGAAAAACCTGCCTACTTTACAAATAATACGGAATTAACTAAGAGTTCTAGGTGTATTGGGAGGAAGTAACAAAACAAAAATACTTTTAAAGCGCTGCGAAGCACGCCGAGTATTTGCTAGTTGAAGATATTTCAAAGATTTCTCAAATGTCTTTCATTTGACACCTATGTTGTAATATTTATTGAAATAAACGTTTCAAACAGGTGGCAACCCTCAAAAATATGTTCGGCGACAAACTTTCCTAAACCTTTCTACTTTAGTACTCATAGATATTGTAATATTTACATTATATTATTAGGTTTAATTAAATATTTCAAACAGGTGGCAACCTCAAAAATATTTTCGGCTGTAAGCCTGCTTATGCGTCGTCCTTTTGGCATCCGTATTGTAATTTATGTTGACTGAAATTTTCAAACAGGTGGCATCTCTAAATTTTTTCCTTCTGAAACCATCCGGGTATTACAGCGAACAAAAAAAGTGTTAATCGGTCAAGCTGTTTTTGAATTTAAGCGAGACTAACTGAGAGCAATTAATTTTTAAAAACTACTACATAATATTAAGTATAAAATGTTCTCTAATTATAACTGGCATATATTCACTATAATTCTTTGCCTAAGATCTCTTATCCAAATGCACAGAGTACCGTTGGATGACCGACAAATCTATAGTCTGTCAAATCTTCATTTAGCTTATTTCCCTGAACATCGCTCTTGTATCCACATAAAATTATAATAATTTTTTTAACCACCTAGTGGCACCCCTCGGCATGCAATGGTAATATCAGAGTAGTATACTTATTTATGTCATAAAAAAGGCTTCTTAAAAACATCTGACATCGAGAGGCGGCGCTCAGTGGTAAATATATGCCAAAAAGCACTAATTGCATCTGTGGTGATTTTCTTTGGAATTCAGAAACCTAAAAACCACATAGATTGGTAAACTGCCACGCTCACCATACAAGCGGGCGGAGATGTTAAATGTTATCCGATTTTAATAAAGCTTACTTTTTATCAAAAAAATTTAATCTGCAAGATGGCCAAGATCGGACTACTGCCATGGCAACTAGCCTATCAAAAAAAAAAAAAACATTTTTTCTTAAAACCGGATAATATCTAAAATATCTGCATCCTAATACAGCGGGCGTAAAAGTTTACCAATTTACAACTTTTTTATACTTCATTAAGAAATCTCTAGTTTCAGCATTTGGAATGTTTGAGGAGGGTTGCCACGTGTTTATAAAGTTACATTCAAATAATTCAATAAGTTGAATGAATTTTAAACAAATGGGTATCAATAGAAATGGGTTTGATAAGGCTTTATTCCTGACATTTGGTCGAAATATGTACAGGGACATGTATTATTTCAGTCTCTGCGGTTTTATTAATCTTTGTATTCTTAACTTGTGTTGTTGTTGCAACAATTCGTCCTGAAATATACTAGCCAGAAATGCGATTGCTTTATAAAAATTTGAAATATGAGTGCTTTTACTCTCTAGAAAATAATTTCTACAACTTCTCATACGTGTTTTGCATTTTGCTGATACGCGGCTTTGCATTTTGTTGATACGCGGTTTTGCACCTTAAACGACGATATACAATAATAATTATAAAAATACACTCGCTTACCAAATTTCAGTCGGATATCTAGAAAACTGACGGATTAAATTGCGTTCAAACAAACAGACAGATGAACGTGGTGATGAACCAAATTTATAATATCATTTCATGATCATGAAACGTATAAATGATGGAAAAATCGTACAGAACGTACGATCGCGACCAGTATTTAAGCTTATAATAATAGAGATATTTCAAAGCGCAATTAGTTAGGAAGAAGGTACTTTATTTCACTCTTTTATAAAATTAATCGCTTTAGAATATTCTGTTCCATTTCGCAGTTTCTTGCATTCTTCAATTTGCAGCCAAAAGCGACTTCCATTATTCGTACGTTCGCGACCGCATGTTTATTGCTAACATATTGAAAAATAAAAATCGAAAGATCATCCCTTTTGCACCAAAGATATACCTAGCAAAGTGCCATCGAAACATACTAAAAAAATTACAAACATACAAATTTAATTTTTCCTTGTTTTTTGAACTTCAAAAGCGGTTCGCGACCGTTGGAAATGGCCATATTTAACATGCGGTCTGGTTTACGAATGCTTCATCATCGCTATTTTTTCCTGACTTTTAAGTGCTTAAGCTGCGGTTCGTTTTTTTTTTATTTTGAAAGCTTCGATAGAATTATAGTCGAAAATTTTGCCTTTTTTTTTTAAATAATGAAACTTTTTTATGTACTATATGATATACAATAAATATTTTCAAGACTCACAAATAGAATTCTTATATGTACATCAAATCATAACTGAGCATGATTGCAATTGCGTAAAATCTTATGTAATAAAAAAAAAACGCTTATTGATAAAACAAACAAAACTAATCGCTTCCATTCAATGCAAAACAAAAATACATTTTAACATCACTGCTGCTCTGCCAAAATCAAACAATACAAAATAACACACCCCCTTCGATGTTCGCTTGCCCAACAACCAACCGCCCATCAGATCAACACCTAGTAAGAAATTGCCATTTATCAACTCAATCGACGATGAAGAAGACTGCTTTGAAGATTTTTGTACTGATGACTCGAATGACTACTACCGCCAGCGCTTGAACTCAGATTCGAATAGTCAACAATCGAACATGGGCAACAGTCATAATAATCAGCAGACACAACAACAACAATACTCCGAGGATGAGCAGTCGCGCATCGTCGGCACCAATGCCAAGAGAAAGAAGCTCGAAAGCTTTGTGGAACTAGACAATGATGATGCATGCAGTGAGGATGTCTTCATACGGAAAATCGCTAGCGCCAGCAATATGGAAACAACTATTGAAGTGCCGCCGCCGCCGCTGCCGCCGCCAAAGTTAATGCTCGAATCCATAGCGGTACCAACAAAGTAAGAGAATTTCGTTTGCTTTGACTAATTTGATTCAGCTCAAAAAAGTGCATCTGCTACTTGCAAATACTCAGATTCTACTTAAAAAAAAAATATTTTAAATGTGTATTCCAAAGCGCAAATATCAAATCTTTAATATGTATGTATGTACATATCTTCTACACTAACAATCTTCCTGTTTTGTAAATGCGTTGTGTTTCTATTAAATGTTTCTAAACCAAAATAGTTTATCCTGCTTTATGTAGTATATACCCTTAGGTGTATGTACATATGTATGCATGTGTGTATATATGTGCAATCAACAGGCAGTACGCTCTAATATGACATATAAGTATGTAATATGTATGTAAGTTTACCTCTGCATATGTACAAGAACACACGCATACTCTAGTCCAGTGCCGGCCACACTAATAACAAAACACCTGCATAACATCGTGCTTACACAACATCGATCGTTAGCGTTGATGTGAAAACACGAAAGCAAAACTGCACAATGTGCACGTTTTGGCCGGCACTGCTCTAGTCATTTCCATTTCATGTCCATCCTACTTACTATATAATAATTTGCACATTTTGAAAGAACTTGTATACGAATATTTATATTTCTCTATTTTTGTGTTTTTTTTTTACAGATTTATACCCACAGGACCACGTAGCATGACACGCGTGGCTCACAAACGCCAGCCATCAGTACCGCAAAACACAGTGGTGACTTCGTCGAACGGGCGTGTGCAGTTGGAAATTGTTTCGCAACCTGAGCAACAGCATCGTGCGCGGTAAATTTTTCACCAGCATGAAACTGTAGTTGATTTCATTAACAATTTTTCTTTTTTTTATTATGCTTTCAGTTACCAGACAGAGGGCAGCCGTGGCGCTGTTAAGGATCGCAGTGGCAACGGTTTTCCCATAGTCCGCCTCATGGGCTACAATAAGCCCGCAGTTTTACAAGTTTTCATCGGCACAGATATTGGTCGCGTCGCACCGCACATGTTCTATCAAGCCTGCAAGGTGGCAGGCAAAAATTCTACGCAGTGTAATGAGAAGAAAGTGGATGGCACCATGGTTATAGAAATCGATTTCAAACCGGAAACGGATATGACAATTACTTGCGATTGCGTTGGCATACTCAAGGTCCGTGTTCATAAAGCAATAGTTGTGATAGCGTGTTTGATCTTACTACTTCTATTTTTTTCAATTATGTATTCAGGAACGCAACGTCGACGTGGAACATCGTTTTCCAGATCATTTGGCGCAGAAGAATAAAAAGAAATCAACCCGTTGCCGCATGGTGTTCCGTACACAATTGGCACATGATGATGGCACTGCGGAAATGTTGCAAGTCTGTTCGAATCCAATTATCTGCAGTAAGTAGTAATTGTATAATACAAATTAAATTTAGGCTTAAATCACTTAAGGCAGTGTCACACGATTGGCGCATGTGCACAGATTTGTACATTGTTTGTATTGGGCTATTGGTACAATATAAAAAAAAAATTGGGGCGACAATTGTTTTTGTAGTCACACGATTGGTACAATACAACGATTTTCTATTGGAAAATTTTAACAAATTGTTTTTCGTGATTGGGAAAAAGAAAAATATTTGTGCATTCACACGATTGGGATACGATTTGCACTAAATTTTGGCCAAATGCCCTATCGTGTGACACTGCCTTTAAGAACAGACAGCGCTGTGAGGTCTGCATCAGCATCGCCCAGCGCACAACAATCACCTTAGCATTTTGCCCTAGTAGTTAGATAGTTTCATAAGCGTAGAAAAATTAAAAAGTCAAAAAACAAATCGAAGTGGTTACACAAATATTTGTAAATGTCAACACCTACTCAACCACCGTACTATGTATGACGGGCCAACGCTAACTCCAAGCAAAAGGTATAGCATAGAAAGTCGTAGAATGTAAAAATCTACAGGTCGTCTACTGATAAACCCAAGTTTATGGAACAGTGTTGGCGGCCCTTGAAAAACTTGATTTGCAGGCATCATTTGCTCTCGACAACACGGACACCTTAACGGAGCAACCCTTTTTACCATTTGGACGAAAGAGATCAGGCTGCAATTAGGTATTAACCCAAAAATTCTTCGACAGCCTGCACACTTTTTGGCGCACACACCGTAATTTTCAGAAAAGTAAAGAAAATTTACCTTTTGTCGCTTACGATAAAATTGCAAAAAGGGGTCGATATAAGTTTGACAACACAAAGATTGTAACGACAAAAAATTATCCATCACTCAAAAATTGAGAGAGCAAGCGTTCATTTTGCTACAAGAGAAACGTTCATTTTGTGCTCGAAAAATTTTAGCCAGCGAAAATTATCCATCACGAAAACATATGATCTGAAAACATATGGTTGCAATTTTGTAAACAAACAAAATTGAATTTTTCGAGTTTTGGTATTTTCATACATACATATGTGCTTTTTGGCTGCCTGTTATGTGACTTTATGATAGTGCTAACTAGTTTTTACTTCCAGAAATGTTCCTGGCGAACATTGAACTTTCACTTTCCTTTTCTCTTCCATGGAGGCAACATAAATTTCAGTTTGTTTACAAATAAAACATAAACAAAGTCAGCTGGTGTGCCTTCTTCTTCCTATTTTGACAAGTGAGGGCTAATTTTCTCTTCGTTTACTTTTTTGTTTTTTCCTCTCTTTGGGAGTGAATTTCGATTGTTGGCTGGTGTTGGCTAATTTTGTTATCGAACACAACTATATTCAAACACATTTTTCACCAAAACAAATATTGTTTATTAATTTCATATTAAAACAATGACACTTTAACGCCAAATTCGTTGGAAAAAATTGGATAGGGATGAAGGTTAAATTTAAATGCCCAAACTTTATTACCCAGAGGCTCAGTGCTGAACCTTTATTTTGTGCTGATTGCGATCATAACCGCACTTCAGCTTCAGCTCATACTTGTGGAACATACATAAAACATTCTCAATAATAATATATCTTCTGCCTTCTTCCAGCACAACCACCTGGCATACCAGAGATTTGCAAAAAGTCACTTAATTCATGCCCCGTCGACGGTGGCCTCGAACTTTTCATTATCGGCAAAAACTTTCTCAAAGATACGCATGTTTTGTTTCAAGAAACCTTCGAGAATGGACCGCCAAGTGATGCTGCAACAGAGCTAGCCGTACGCCAGCATTTAGGTGGCGCTTTATGGGAACAAACAGTGCTACCTGATAAGGAATATCTGCAACAAGTAAGATATGCAGTGGCTTTGTGGAGATATCGCATGAATATTAACGACTAATTTACTTTTTTTTCAGACGCACCTTATATGTGTTGTACCACCTTACATTCATCAGAATATACTCAAGCCGGTTACTGTGCAGTTGGTAATTATTTCCAGTGGCAAAAAGAGTGAGCCTCACACATTCGTTTACACGCCGAAGGGCAGTTATTCGACCTTGGCAGCTGCTACGACACTAAGTACTGGCTTACATAGTAGCTTATCAGTGGCACAAGGTATTTATTTGTTTATTTTACATTTAGATTTTAAAATGAAAATTTATTTAAAAAGAAAAAACCGAAGTTCAAATTAACGCTTAGTAAAGTCGCAAGCTTTTTAAGGCAACGAGAGAATGTATTAATCGAAAAGGCAAATTGGTAGGTCAGGTAGGCTAGCAGGTAGGCAGAATTTGACATGCGTTTTGTTTTTTTTTTTTGAATGGACAATGCAGCGACAAAAAATTGCAAGTTAATAAAGTTTATTTTAGGTAATATTTATTTCGTTTTGAATGCTAGGTTAGTGATGCAGAAATTAGAAACTAAGGGCAGTATGCAAAGAAGTAGATACTTATTTAAAAAGAAAACAGTTGTCACAACCTAAACGTTGCAGCACAGCGCTAATAATAGCAGCTTAATTTTTTTTTTAGGTACCGTAAAATTTACTGCGATATTTCATGAATACATATATGGCAATAATTTTTATCGTTTACATATTAATTTGTAATTTTAGAAACAAAAAATCAGAATCTCTTTCATAGGTAAAATCGGATTTTTTAATATGTATTAATAAATTCTTATATTTTCGAATGGCAAGTTTTGAAACGTAAAAGAAAAAAGTAATACCTAGAACTGCAATAGACGCAAAATCTTGAAGAATCATTATTAATACAGTCATGTGAAGAAAATTAAGACCGCAAAAAGGATATCTAAAGATCTGCTATGCTTCTGTACCTAATCCAAAGCCTTGGAGACATTAAATACATTTTTGGGTAATTTAAAAACTAGACATTAATTTATGGCTATTCAAAAGATGCCATCATTTTTGGTAATTTGAAAAGTTAATTTTGAATCTAGACATATAAATCTGACACTCAAAAGGTGGATAAATCCTTTTGCCTTTGACAATTTAATATAAAATATCTACACTAAAAAGTAGACAAGTAGGCTATTGAACTGTAAAAAGTGGACATGTGAACGGGTTCATTTAAATGAATCTCCCCTTTTTACCATACTTTTGCTGCTCGATAGTTTTCCCGTTTTCAAATGCAAAAGATTTATACCCACTTTTCACCATAAATTTTATATGTCTAAATGCAAAAAAAATGTATGTCCAATTTTTAAATGAAAAAAATAATAATAAATGTATGCCCAGTTTTATCATTCATTTGAAGCATATATACATATGTACGCCAATGAAAATAGTTGTGGTTAAATCGATTGATCTACTATAAATTGATTCCATCTACTAATTTTCCTCGCATTTTTTAGCTTTTGCTATAAAGTTGTGGTTCTAAGAGTTTTGAGATTTTAAAGCTGGCTGTTGAAAATTTTCTTGTTAGCTATATCCTTCATCTTTTACACATGACTATATTATTGTTATTATATACACATTTGCAAAACACAAAAAAATATTATCTCAAAAAACCCCTCAACTTGAAATATCGCATAAATTTTACTTAATTTCTAAGTGCGACGACGAAAATTAATTTTAAGTGCGCAAACTATATAATAGTAAAATTACTATTTACATATTTTAAAAATTAAGTAACAACAAAACAATCTGCGATTCCGTCAAGAAGCTATTGCAAAAAAAAAGAAGAAAAATAGTTATACACTTTTATTTTCCGGATTTTCCACGTACATACATATCTTCCGCTGAGGACATGCTATATGTAAACTACCACAGAAGCAACTTCAAAGCTAACCAAAGCAAGCAACGCAGTACAGAAGAAAAAAAAATATTTTTTGTTTCAAGTTTCTCTACAACTTTAAATCACTGCTACAACGTCAACGCAGCTGGCCGCCACCGTCATCGCCGAATTTAATCCAGACAACTTTGAGGTGTGATTGTGATTGGATTCGTTAATAAATGTCTTGTACTTCATATATAAATATATATATTTGTATAGGAGCCGTTTTATTGCCGATTCTATATGGCTGAATATTCTTTTCGTTAAAAGTAGCGGTTGGTTTAATATTTTCTTTGTTAGTTTCGGTAGTCGGTAGTCGTTTTGCTCAAGTATCGAATTCCTTGATTTTGTTATGTTGCACAATCGGAAAACTGTATTTTGCTAACGGTTGAGAAAAAGCCGAAGTGCTGTTCACTCTCCAACGGAGTTTGCTGGTGTGCATGATTGGCGATTGAATGAATGGATCAGCAGAGTTTTCTTGGTTACATTTGGCATGCGGTAGACCGCCAACTATACAGCATCTAAAAAAATACAAAAAAAAAACATTACATTTTATTTTTTATTCTACACCCCAAATTTATAATGACTTCACAGCAGTCAGCTAGATGAGCCTTTAAAACAACTACCAACTCAGTTTCCGCCAACTACTTGATTTGCAGTTGATAACATCTGTAGCTCTGTTTAAAAAATTTAGAAGAAAACAACGCTAACAAATTGGATATTCAATGAACGAAGGCTTCATTTTTCAACAAGCAAAAACGTCGATAATTAAACTTTATTTACATACATACATATGTGCATATGTATGTATTTTGAAAATAAGACCTGCATTTTATTTGATAGGCAGCTTTTCAACGTATGTTTTTAACAGTACATACTCGGTTTTCACTTGATTGCTTTTGTGATTAGGATGTGCAATCACAAAAAAAAAAGATAAATACTATTCCAAAATGTGACAAGATCAAAAACGTTAACCCTTCAAAATATGGTTAAACGGATTAAAGAGTGTATGTCACAAAAAAAAAAGTCCTCTGTGTTCTAAATATTTGAGGCCTAAAGAAAAAAATAAAGAATATTTAAAAAAAAAATCTTACAATAAAAACAATAATCAGCAAATCACAAATAATGAGCTAAGTCATTAACTCATCAAAAGGATTTTGTTCAACACTAATCACAAAATATTTTTACTTTATTTTCCCCTTCTCTTAGCAATTTAGGTAAAATTGTGGTTGATATCAAATGAATTCAAAAGCGATATTCTATTCATACCTATAATGAGAATGCATAATAGTACTTCAAGCTGTTTCAATGTTGACAATTGCAAATGTTGCGCGCGTCGAACGATGCCATAACCATAAACCAAACAAAAAAACAAAAACTTCGTTACTTTGCAAATGCACAAATGCGAAACACTTGAACGCCTTGAATGAAATATACGCGTAAACCTAGAATAAAAAAAAAAAACAAATCAAAATCCAAAACATAAAATATTTAATTGTAAAAGAGATCTACCGAAAGAACGGCACTGTAGTCAGTCTCGCTGTTTATGTTGCTGTTGCGGTCGTCAAAGTGACTTTTTGTCCAACACATATTGCCGCCTGCACCAACTGCATACATAACCAACATACAGACACTATTTGTTGCAACGGGATGCATGCTTGCAGTTGTGGTCGTTAAGAGAAATGCTGAAGTGGCTAGGAAGGAAGTTGCACCTCCTATTGCATCAGCTAAGCGAACTATTTAAAACGCAAGCAAAGGAATAGACAACATATACACTTATGGACAAAAAAAAACAAACAAAAGTAGAATCATGTGAAGGGACACGAGAAGGAGTCATACTATATTCAGCCTACCAACATTTCATTGCCATCCGCGTTACACCACTTCACTTCACAAGTTGTAGCTGCCTGCTGTGCCGCCAAAAAGCCGTCACCATCCACCCAGCACGTTTCGTCTAAACAGGTCTCGTCTCGTCTCGCCTTGCCTAGCTCATCTCGTTACACCTGCTGCATCTGCTTCATCAACTGTACATTAGGGTACTGGTTTATAGAACAAAACAAACAATATTTCAAACAAAATTTTTTCCTCAAGCCATTTTTTTACTTCATTATTTTCTTAAACTAGAATACATAACTTAGTATTCGAATTTGTCTTTTTTTAATATATTTAAGCCACTTGTCTCCTAAATAGTACATACTAAAATACCCTACTTGCATATTATTGTTACTCTAATAGAAACATACTACTCACTCCTTTTTTTTGTAATATCTTTTTCACAAATTCATATTTTACCATTCCAGCCTCTTTTTTTGCGCGTTTAAATTTTAATTTCAAAGCAATTGTTATAGAATCATACTATAGTACATCATTGAGAGCATTTATTTATAATTTAGTAACTCTTTCCAATTAAATTTTAGTATTACAAAATATAAAAAAAAACTATAATTCCTAAAGCCAAAAATTTTGAATGGTAAAATATTATGCCATTCAAAAAATGCCAAGCGTAAAAGCATTTAATTATTATCTTTGTCATCTAAAGCCTAGTGGAAATCTGGCGTTACCGTTGAAAAAATTGAGAAAAAGTTTAAGAAAATTGTATTAACTGTAAAAGTTCAAATTAGAAATTTTTTAAATGCAACACAAAATTATGTAAATATCGAGCCCTAACCTCCAAAAAGATGTAAGCGACATTTTTTTTATTGTCAAATGTCGCTTACATTTTTTTGGCGGTTAGGGCTCGATATTATATTTCAGAAATTTAGAGAGAACAATTTTAAATTTTGACCGTTGTACAGCTTTATTAAGCAGAATTAATTGTTTATAAAAATATTTCAAGATTCTATAACAATACATTTCATCAATATTCATCACACTTACGGTGCTCTGCAATCAGAATTTGTACAACAAAAAAGTTAAATAAGATGAAAAAATGTTAATCCGAGAATGTTTGTCAAAACTCACTTCCGGACCTTTTCGCCATAATTTTCCAGCCGAAATTAAAATTTTTTGAAAGAGCCAAACTTTTTTCGGATTTTTTTTTAACAAGTATGTACATTTTTTGACCAGTAATTTTTACCGAGTACATTTGTTGTACAAAATTTTTCTCGTGAGCTATTTTTGTATTATTGTCTTAAGGCAGTGTCGCACGATTGGGCATTTGCCCAAAATTGGGTACGAATTGTATCCCAGCAATCACGAAAAATAATTTGTTCAAATTTTTCCAATAGAAGTTCGCTGTATTGTACCAATCGTGTGACTACAAAAAAAAAAAATTTAATCCCATATATATGTATATATTCCATTCCATATGTCCATTTAGCTCCATCA